TACACTATTGATTCATATTTAGCTTGTGGTCCACTATGACCCCGAGATCCCTTTCTGCAGTACTCTTTCCTAGGCAGTCATTTTCCATTTTGTATGTGTGCAGTTGATTATTCCTTCCTAAGTGAAGTACTTTGCATTTGTCCTTATTGAATTTCATCCTATTTACTTCAGACCACTTATCCAGTTTGTCCAGAACATTTTGAATTTTAATCCTATCCTCCAAAGCACTTGCAACCCCTTCCAGCTTGGTATCATCTGCAAACTTTATAGGTGTACTCTGTATGCCATATCTAAACATTGATGAAGATATTGGACAGAGCCAGACCCAGAACTGATCCCTGCAGGACCCCACTCGTTATGCCCTTCCAGCATGACTGTGAACCACTGATAACTACTCTCTGGGAATGGTTTTCCAACCAGTTTTGCACCTACCTTATAGTAGCTCCATCTAAGTTGCATTTCCCTAGTTTATTTATGAGAAGATCATGCGGGACAGTATCAAAAGCTTTACTAAAATCGAGATATACCATTTGTCAAAGAAAGCAATCAGGTTGGTTTGACATGATTTGTTTTTGATAAATCCATGCTAACAGTTACTTTTCACCTTATTATCTTCTGGTTGTTTGCAAATTGATTGCTTAATTATTTGCTCCATTATCTTTCCAGGCACAGAATTTAAGAGCATCATGCCAACTCAGTCATTTTAGCAAGCATTATATTCTCATAGATATAGAAGTACTGTAAGTAAGATGGCTATCCATGCTACACTCAGGAAGGGGTGATATTGTCCTAGTTTATTATCTTTTACTTTGGAAAGAAGCAGCAACTAATGATTTTAAAAACATTCTTTTTCACTTTCAAAGAGGAGAAGAAGATTGCTGGTTGAATAGTAAAATGGGCCTGAGCTGACATGGATCTGAACTTCCCCAAGTTCCCAAAGTTCAGGGATATTCATATCTGGGGTTTTGGTTTGGGCATAGCTCTAAGTAAATTGTTAAGTTACCTGAGCTAAACCTCGGAAAGGTCTCCTGCGCATATATTTCTACAAGAAGCATTTTCACTACATGGAGGAGAGAGGAAGAAAGGATTTACCGACATGCATTTTATTTGCTATTAAATGCCATTGGCAGATGGTGTCTGGCACTCATCAGAAACAAGAGACGCTTCATAGAGGAAATTATATTCTCTAATATTTCCTATAAATGTTTTCATTTTATCATGTTTAAATAGTTCATAGGAAGCACTTGTCACATCTTTTTATGGGATGAATTCAAGAACAAAGAGTCTTTTCTTTTTTTAAAAAAAGTAAAGTGAGTACACAAATAAAAAAAGATTCTTCTGAAATTGTCCACTATCCTTATGCTTGCCAGAATGCTGGCCATCACTATTATTAACCAGTGTATTGTAACCTGTGCTTCATTATGTAAACCGAACCACACAGTGGTGGAGTTATTGACAATACTATGAGATGTGTACTTGTGTACAGAGAAGGAAACACATGCTGCCTTAAATGGCCCAGAATATCAGGGTTGTTACATGTGTATAGTGTTGAGCACTGGAAATATTAATGTATACTCTAGTTATATCAAATTATGCTAAATTATAAGGTGCATAAACATTGAAATTAGCAGTCTAAGCATAGTCCAATTGATTTTAAAAACTCTTGTACGGTTCCCAATCTTTGCTCAGAGGAGGCTCAGAACAGAATAAAAATGAAGAATGGATTATCTTTTTGTGGAATAAAGTGGGCACAGTGCAAATGCACTGGAGATAAGCCCTGAGAGACATTTTCTTAAATTCCATCCATCTTCACCTCATAAAAGTACTCAAAGCCTTATAAATAATTTAAAAAACTAATGGACGTGGTTTTTAAACAATGTGAGGCTGTTTTTAAAGAAGCGGGTCATGAGCAGATCTGCAAGAGTGGAAATGGAAAATGCACTGCTTCTATGCTATGGTTACCTTGAGAGGTAGAAAGGCATGGTGCGGTGTGTGAGTGCAGCCTTCCTCAGTACCACTGCTCTGTTAGGGCTCAAGCCTGAGCACTTTGACCTTGCTGTAGCAATGCACTTAAGCATGTGCTTAACTTTAAGCAAGCAGGTAGTCCCACTCACTTTCTTTGCAGGATGAAGGCCAGAAGGCTCTTGCAACTTGCAGGAATGAGCCATATAGGTTAGTAGTAAAGACATAGTGCCTAATGACATCACAGTAAACCTGTGTCCCCATTGTTACAGAAACAAACACTCTTTCATTGTAGATACATAGATAGATAGATAGATATGTGTATATATAAAGATAGATATTTAGATCAGCATTCTAGGGAATCTGATCTTTAATGTGCTGAACCATCCCTTATCAGTTCATTACTCACCAACTCATACTTTTATGCAGGTTCTCACTCAGTCTTAGGTATGATGCTATAGCCCTCTTTAGCAGCATATAGTTTATTGCAGCATTTAACTGGCACTTCAATGAAGGGCAGACATCCCCCCAGAAACATGGCTGCTACTGTTTTGGAGCCTCATATTGCAATGCACACTTCTAGGGGATGCTGGAGTCACTGTCTTTGAATGGATCTGTGATCTGAAAAAGACACATTGTGATGATAAATTCACAGCTGTGTGATGCATAAGACTGTGATAAAGGTAAATGTCTCACTGGCTAAGGCTGTCATATCCTTGTCAATAATGACCAGTAAATGCACAAGTCTGACCGTGTTCTTTATTTTTCATTTCCATTCTGACATAACATTAAGAGGATAGAGTAAAATGCTAATTTCCAGGCAGTACAATTCGTAGAGATCACTCCCTGGAAGTTTAAAAATAATTCTGTCTCCAACCTTCTGCCTCATAATAACACCATCTAACACTCAGTATAATTACCACAACACACATGAGCTATTTCTTAATTGCAGGGATGACATTGGCTATCTTTTGCTTATTGAGATCAGATGCATTTTACTTCCTGTTAACCTCAGAGCAATTCCACTGGAAATATACATAAACATATGGAAAGCAGTTACCGCTATATTTCTTGATAGCTGTATAATTGATTTCTATTGACAATGTACTTACTATTACTAAGTCTAATCCAATCACTATAAGTAGGTAAGTAGCAAATCCAGAATAGATAGCTTCCCCACAGAGCTAAATAATGAACTTTTAGAGAGATACTAATGCCTCTCCATAGGTGAAATTTAATTGGATAGCTCTATATGTAGTGCTATGAACTATGTTTTTCACATTGTTCATACCAGTTCCTTCATCACCGAGCCTGAGATGGTGATCTGCAAAGCAGATCTGTAAAGGAGAAACAAAATAAGACTACTAAAAAGACAGGAGTCATATTACCTTCAAGGAGAAATTATGTCTGGAATCTAAAATTTCCAGCTTGCTATCATGCAAATTTAAACAAAAACATCTTCATTTGAGGTAAAGAACACTTTTATGCAGTCTTTCAAGTCTTCTCTGTAAACAGAAGTTTGTTTTTTAAAGCAAAAATAGAGATGATCAAATTCAAATAAACAAGAATGTCTTGTGATATCAGCAAAAGTGGAACAAGTAAAAATGAGTTTTATGGCATCACAAAACCATCACAGCAATTTTTCAATCTGTAAAAGAATACCAGGACTGGAACTGTTAGTGTTCTTAAATCAAGTAAGGAAGTCAGGAGGGAGGAAAGGATGCTCTGTGGTAAGGCAATAGAGCCTTCTTTTCTCAGCCACCAGTTTGAATCCAATCTGTATCCAGTCTTGTTGATACAGGCTGAGAGTTGATACAGGCTCCTGGCTGTATGTCGGTGAAAGTTATACGAAATGCTGGGATCAATCCAGTTCTTAGGGAGGCTAAGGCTACTTCAAACAGCACTATTAAAATTAGCACTAGTCAGCACCACTGTTCGCAGTTTAAGCTGCAGAGATGGAATGAGCATGTAGATTTAAATCTCACCAAATGAGGGTAAATCCATCCTCATCATCGTATCCACTCATTAAACTCCACACCTGAACATAGTCATTATATGAACAACATACCCTGATATCTCAATGTCTGTACTTTGACCTGTTAACCTTTTACGCCCAGATGGGGATATTGCAGATTATGTATTCCTTACACCATCCAATCCTAAACCGAACTTCACACCCCTTGGTAATCTGTACATTATTCTCTGATAACCAGAAACTTCTACGCTTAAACTCTGTACCATTTTCTTTTTATTTTAACGTCATCTTAATAAAATTCTTGAACTTTCCCTTTTGAAGTGGCCATATTGGAAAGGGGTTAATCTGTACTGGTGAGGAATTGGTTATTCCTGTAGCCCAGAATGTATGGTCTCTATGAGATAAATGATCCCAGTCTTCTCTAAGATTTTTCTGGAACTTCTCACAAACACAAAATTTAGGTGAGGAGGGGAAATTTAAGTGCTTTCTGAGGAAACCTACACTGCATTTGAAAGCATCAGACCTGGCTCAAGCTATCAGCACCTTCACGAGGAATAAATTCACTTCATAGTTTCTTGGGGTGAAAAATAGGAGTGCAATGAATTGTGGAAGTATTAGGAACCTATGAATATTAAAGCAGACAAGACAATTGAGGAAGGTCAGAAAAAATAGACTTCTTCTAGGCATACTGTTTGAGAGAGGTCGGATTAAAATCAACAGAGAAAATGGGGTGCAGGACTGTTTGGTTTGTTTCTAAACTTTGAAACAAGAGAGGGGAAAATGTCTAAATGTATCATTTTAATGTCCGTTCATGGGGAAGTTGATGAAGGAACAAATCGAAAGGGATGCTACAGATGCAGATGAAGTTGGGGGCTGTAAAACTTTCAAAGAGGCATGCCTCCCAGTTAGAGTGTGAATGTGCAAACTAATTGCACAGCTAGTTTAGAATTTTTTTTTAATTATTACAGGAAATTGCAAGACTCAATCTTCCAAATACAGCTACTGCCATCTATTGATGTCCTGCTGTTGTAAGTTTTATAAAACACTTTTGTTTACCTTTCAGATCAGCATCTTCATGACCCATTTGTCCAACTACGGGAATGACCGCCTGGGGTTATACACCTTTTTGAATCTGGCCAACTTTGTTAAGAACTGGACTAACCTAAAACTACAGACTCTGCCTCCAGTTCAACTGGCTTACAAGTACTTTGAACTCTTCCCTGAGCAAAAGGACCCTCTCTGGCAGGTAATATAACATACCTGTCAATAGTCCCACTGATAATTCTTCAATTACAATGCACTTCTAAAATCTTTTGCAAAAAGACACATTAAAAATGAAGATATTTTATTTTGTTTTAAATGCCTTTTTGGGTTTATTTTATTTTCTTCAAAGACAACAGCTTTGACTGAGAATATATTTGCATATTGGTTAGCTGTGATCTGCACAGATAAAGCAAGGCACTTGCTTAAACTCAGTCAAATACTAGCCACTTTAAGAGCAGTTGGTTGCTATTTATCTGAGCTTCCCTTCCCTCTTCCCTCTTGTTTTCCTGACGCATCACATTGTATTAACTTATCTTGATGCACAATCATTAGGATGAAAACAGATGAGTGAAATCTACCACAATGCAGATTCACTGTGTCCATTAATATGGAATCACTAGCATTAAGTTACTGCAGCTATAGCAAGGATTCCCAGAATACAATATCCCCTTCTTTAAAACAGCAAGGAAAAAATCCCATATGGGAGATAGTGATTAGCATAAACAGTTACTTTGAAAATAAAGAAATGCCTTACCCCAACTCAATGATGACTAGTTCCCACCTCCATTTGAAATAAATGCCAATGCTGCCTGTAATGCCAGGATAGCAATTGTCAAATAATTATCACATATTCATGGTTCCTCTCTGATTCAGCACATGATATGCCAAAGCATACTCTGTTACACAAGTGTAAATCCAGAATAACTCAAAGGAAATATGTGCACTTATGGTATAAGAGAACAGAATTTGTTTTTAACTAGTTTTGGCAAGATCTGCAGCTAATGTATAAATTGGCCTAACTTCCATTGATAGAGCTATACTGATTTGCACCAGCTATAAATTTGTCCCATTATATTTAGTTAACTTAATGAATTAACAAATCAGGTCTTCAACAAACCATTACCAGCTTATGCAAAGATAACATCAGTGTAATAACTCTTGAAAGAATAATCAACTCTTACTTTTTTCTTCGGATTTTCTGTTCACACATTTTTATTTTGCATTAACATGTAGTAGAATGTTAGTGTTGAATAATATCCTAAATTTCTCTTTTTTTCCTGTCTTTTGGATTATTATGTAAATTTAAATTGTCACTAACTACTATATATTTGAAACTTCTTTGTCACCTAATAAGTAATATGAATAGCTGGAAGGCATAATAGTAATAGGTAATTTTAACCATAAATGGAAATTTGTTTGTTAATACTTAATTTTTATTCCTTTTAAATCTAAAACGAACTTAGGCCTCAATCATGCAAAGCCGTTAGGCGAGTGCTTTAATTTTAGGCACATGAATAGTCTTATTGACTCATTTACTTGATCAGCACCATAGTGATTGTGAACTGTGTCACACTGGCAGAACTAAGGAATAGTGTCCTCTACAGATAGAGTACAAGAAGGAGCTGTGCCAGCTTCTCCAGACTGCTGTACATCTGCCTTGACTTAGAGAGATTTCCTATAGGGATGAGAAGGTAGTTCAGGCACTATGCCTCAGAGAAGAGACTGTCAACAAGACTTTTAATTATGCTGTGACTAGCTGTATTATATGGAACTGAATTATAACCAGCAACTCATGTTGTAAACTATACCATACAGAATTGTATCGTGGTGACTTTCAGTCACTAGAAGAGCTGACTAATGTGGAGCAAACAACTTGATCAATTAATTTAGCTTTATTTTATGCCCCATGGAATATCTGCAAGCAGATTTTACTTCAAATTTATTAGACTAATATTTTTAGATTTTTTGAAAAATGAGAAATAGTTCAATTTAAAAAAAAATGGAAAAATGAAAATGGGCTGTGGGGTGGGCGGGGAGTAAAAGGGAAAAAAAAGTAGGCTCTGGATTAAGACTTTAGAAGTAACAAATTTAAGAATGAAAGAGTATTCTCCCCCAGTTTTCCATTTCGAAACTTTTGTGTTTGAAAAATGCTAAACAGCTGTAATAACTTAAAATTTGGGGACGTATCTTTTATCAGGTGTAAATGAATTTATTTTAACTGAGCTACACTTATTTATGCCAGCTAAGGAGTTGGCCCTGATATTTTATGGATTAATAGTGAATCTTCTAATTTGAGCTGTGTGTAGTTGTGATAGGTCAGGTAATTCTCCTGGTGTGCCTATTCCTGACTGTAAGCAGTATGTAAGGTTTCCAGCAGAAATACTGAAATTCACTTCACACTTTACTTCTGTGAACATTTGTATCATGTCAATAAAATAACCTCCCACCTTAGTTTTCAAATGCTTATTTACAATGGGGGAAATTACATTTATCTATCTAGATCAGTCCATCTGTCTATCCATTTACGGAGTGCCAATCACATTTATACCTTATGTAAATGAATATTCTGAGTTCCCTTATTGCATTCTGTATTTCAGTTGCCATTGTAACAACATTATGCTTATTTTGGGGCCCTTATTCTGAGAGAAGCTGGACACCTGAAGTGATATTCTAGCTCAACCAGAAGTTATGGGCTTGATGCAGGAACCATTTGGCAAAATTTTCTGGCCTGTTAAGCAGGAGATCAGACTAGATAATCATCATGTTCTTTTCTGGGCTTAAAAATCGATGAATCTATAAACATAGAAGTCCCATGCACGTAACACATAGGGAGAAAGAAGGAAATGTTATAGCCTCACAAAATTTTCATTTTGACACTGATCCTGCAAAATGTATACAATTGCTCAACTTTACTGATTTCATTGGGATTACTCTAGGTCTTAATCCCACAACATATGGAACACTCTGATCCCGATGTGCCAAAACACCTAAGCATGTGCCTAGAATTCTTACTTGATTGGTTGGTTAGGGCCAGAGTGCTTAGTTCCTTGCAGAACTGAATTCCTGGGGTGAAATTTGAAAAGTGTTACCACTGACTTTAACCATGCTAGAATTTCACCCCAGTGCATAAAATTAAGTATGTGTGTAAATCTCTACTGCATCAGGGCATTTGAAATTTTCTCCAGAGCAGCAGAAATAATTCTTCTTTTCCCCCTCAGAATCCATGTGACGATAAACGTCATAGGGATATCTGGTCCAGAGATAAAACTTGTTACCATCTTCCAAAATTTCTTGTGATTGGACCTCAGAAAACAGGTGAGAAATGGTGAATTGCAATGACTTGAACAGAGGGTGTGATTCTAAGCATATTGTAGCCCACTTTTTGGTGTTGTATATATTTATTTTGGAATAATGCGTGATAGAGTAAATTCAAATGTAAAGAGGTAATAGAAACCGATAGCTGCTGTTAACTCTTCCATTGCTTATGGGGAGAAAGTGGCTTGGATAAAATAGGAACTCTCTTTCCGAACCATCAGCACTTTTAGAACCAAGCCCAGGTTGTTATCACAGTACTCCGACCAGATGTATTGTTATATCTCACAAAAATGCCTATTCTCATGGGAATTCCAGTTGATTTTGCAGAATCAAGAGGCTTGTATAGTTTTGTTAATACCTTTCTTTGAAATGGAAAGGCTCCTGAGGTCAAAATAGCAACACTTTGCAGTTATACTCCTTCCTATTAAACTAAAGGAATACTTTTTCCCTGGTAATTATGGAATTGGTTATGTTGGTGATAACTTTTGGGTGGGAGCAGTTAGCCTCATTACAAGGGAGGAGGCACATCAAAATACTAAGCTATGTTTCAGATGCTGTTCCCATGCTTTATTCCAATGCAATTTTCAGAACACAGGGTCAAATTCACGCCCCCCTGCATAGGGTCAGCACAAGACTTGTGCCCTATTTTAAAATGGGATTTCAGTAGCACTCAGCTTCTGTACTTGCACTCTATGAATTAAATTCTCCCCATGTACAGAGAAGGTGCAGCATTTCATTCCACCACAATGAAAACAATGCAGTTAGAAAAACTAGAAACCAAATATAGCCAATTACCAGAACTCAGTATATACCAGTGTAAGGAATAATTTTGTCCTGATTACTTTCTCTGGAGTTGAAGGATAATAAGAGTTAAAGCATTTCAGTCATGATGTTTTCACTTAAATTATTTTATATTTTCTACAGTTGATACCTACCTCCTTTGTAAAGTGTTTTGAGATCTAAAGATGAATAGCACTATATAACAGCTAGGTATTTATATGGATCTCATGTAATCATTTTTCCCCAGAAACTGATTTAAGTTTTGTGTCAATGTGTTCTGCATTTAGCAGACATGTAATATGGAAGTAGTCAGAAAGTAGAGCAAACATTCACAACAAACACCCATTTTATTATGCTGTGAGACACAAAGATAAGATAACTATTAAGAGCTCTGACCAAATACCTTCACAATGTTTGCAATCCTAATAAGAGTATTTATCACCTATATAGTCCCTTTCATTTGGGGATTTCAAAGTGCTTTACAAACTTTAAGCCCAACAAACACCTCTGTGGGATAGTATCTTACCGAAGGTGGAAGCCCAGGCAAAGAGAAGTTGCCCAAGGTTACATAGACTACATCTACATGTATGTGTGTGTAGAGTACAGACATGGCACCTCCCCAGAGTATGGGTATAAATAGCAGTGTAGACAGTGAGGCACTGCTTAGATGGATAAAGACATGCAGAACTTTAGGGTATATACCCTACACAGCTCTCTACACACACCCATCTACACTGCTGCTTTTAATAGTGTAGTGTCCTGCTGCCACCCCCTGGCCAGAGCCATTCACTGCCATATGTAGCTACACACCACAGTGTGGATGCGGCCTGTTTTTCACTGCTGCGTGGAGCTATACATACCCTACGTGCCACTGACAATGTAGACAGGCTAGGATGAGTCAGTGATAGAGTCACTGATACACTGATTGCTGTTGCTCTCAGCATTAGGCATTATCTTGAGAACATACCTTTAAATTCCTGTTCTCTTTTAAAAAACAAAATATATATATATATATTTCTCAACCAAGTCACCTTAAATCTCAACCTGGAGGTAAGATGTGAAAAAATCTTTAAAAAGATAGCCGTTTTAAATGGTGTATAATCAATTAATAGAAAGTTTAAAAAGACATTCTGCTGCAAGCTCAGGTGACACCACACTTTTCATTTCCAGTGGCAAAATAGCGAGTATGAAACTATCTTTCTTAGTGATTCCTGCAAACAGGACATCCCAGCTACTTATGAATTTAAGCCTGGTCTAACTCTGTAAGCATCTACATTAAAATGTAGCTCCAATCGATGTAATTTGCCCACTATGCTGACTTAATATCTCCACCTCCGCAAGAGGCGTACTGCTTAGGTCAACGTAGTTAAGTCAACGCAGTGTCAGCATAGACACTGTGCTGCTTACATTGGCTGCTGCTGCCTTTCAGAAGCTGTCCCACAATGCCCCACACTGATAGTTAAATTGGTGCTCCTGGTGAGGATGAACACCGTCGACACAAAGAGCATAGTGTGGACATGCAGAAGCGACTTAATTAGTGTAGTGGCTGTACATCAATGTAACTTTGGACTTCTTAATTTTGTAGTGTAGACTTGCCCTTAGTCTAGTTTGGTGGGAAATAATGTTATCACTTAAGCAGAGGATATGTAACATCTAGCAATCCAGAGGAGATAAACAGATATTGACAAAGACTGAAAGAAATGAAAACAGTCCTACAATAATTATTTATGAAAAGCTGTACGAAACATGCTTTGTTTTAACATGAAATATGTTGCAAAATTTAGGGCCAGTTTCTGCCATTGTATGCACAAATATGGCTTCCTCTGACGTGAATAGAAACCTCACGCCTGCATCAGAGCAGAATTAGGACTCTTGAGAATGAAAGAGTTAATGACCACAGAACAAATAAACTTACATGTATTATCTCTTCATGTTTAAAACTCCAGCATGCTAACACATCCTTTCATTAATAAGAATGTATCTTATAAAAAAAAACTTTTTAAATTTTCCTCTTCATTTGTGCATATTTATTCAGAAATACTTGCTTAAATTTAAAAGCTTTAGATGTATCCTACCCTTCCTATGTCAAATAATCCTGTGTCTTGGGTTTTTTTCTCCTTTTAGGAACAACAGCACTTTATTTATTTCTCCTTATGCATCCTTCTATCATCAGTAATCTCCCTAATCCAAAAACTTTTGAAGAAGTTCAGTTCTTCAATGGAAACAACTATCACAAGGGAATTGATTGGTAAGAAGACTAACAGAAAAAAAAGTCTCTTATTAACACATGCTAAATCACAATGGAACAATTGTAGAAGTATATGTGACACCCACATAATTACCAGATGAATTTCCTATGTCTGGCACTATCAGAGTGAATTAGAAACTAATTCATAATGATGGGACACTTAATCAAGTGTTGCCCTTAATTTTATTTAGATGTTACAGTAACTGTCATAGTTTCTAGTAAACTAATACAATAGAGAACCCAATTCTGACGCCTTCTCCCCATGCTGTGTTATACCTTACTCTGCAATTTCATCATAATCATATTCATTTTAATAGATCGTACCGCCCTTTCTCAGATTGTACTACTCGTAAAGCAGGGTCTTATTCTAAATGTGGCATAATCTAGCCATCGAGACTGCTTGTGGAGTAAATTACTATTCAGCATAACAAAACGTGGCAGAATTGAGCCATTAATAAGGAACTTTAGATTGTCATTCCCCTCAGACTCATTAACATGGGTTTTTAAATCTTTAAAGAAATTATTTTGTAACGATTCATGTACCAAAAGGTACTAGCTGTCGTCACACTTATAGTAAAGCTAATATGAAGGAAGAACATTGCGAAATATATGTATTTTAAAAGGCTAATCTTGAATTGTTTAAATCATACAAAACTGTAATATGCTGCAATGAAGAATAGAAACAGAACTACACAATATATTTTTAAAAAATCACTGAGAACAACATTATCACAGTGGCTACACTTAGTTTAAGAGAAATACTGAATTACTAGGTTAAAAATGTTGCGAAAACCCAGGAGACGGAAACGCTTCATTGTATATTTTTTCATACTACATAATGAAGCATGTCTCATATTGCTATTGATATTACCAGCGTTCAGATGCCTTTTATTAGCCTGAATTTCATTGCAAGATACATGTCTATTTTTGTAGTTTTTGTTTATGTCTGAGACATGTAGAGATTGTATCATAACAAAAGGTGAGGGAGGTTGCAGATTTATTTTGTTAATCCCAACATACATCTGGATGCATGGCCTATATCCATGGAAGCATTCAAATAATATATGGGATAATGAACCTATAGTGACATTGCAAGAACAAGAAGCAGAAGATAATTCTATATTGACTTTGTTTCTAAAACATCCATCTTGCTCTGCACAATACAAAGGACCAGCCCTTCAGCTGATGTAAATCAGTACAGCTCCATTGGCTGGCCCACAATCGGCAAATTAGATTAGAAGTGCAAAAACAAACATATCACAATTTATACCATGTTTTTCCATCTACAGCATTTTTATGTCTGCGATGAGATTATAATCCCTATTTTGGCCTTTACACCAGGTAAAGGGACTGTAGTAGGGCTAGGGTCTTTAAAAGGCACGGTTCCAGCCAGGATAGAATTTCTCCAGCATAGCCACTGAGGCACGCAGGCTGGCATAGGGAGCATTCTGGGACTGAAGCATGTAGCACTGCTTGGATTCAGGAAGCACTGCTGCTGTAGCTGTAACGCAAGCAGCCTCCCCCAACTGCCCCTCCTCCTTCCCCAAAACCGTCTAATTTATGCCAGGGACCACTCCATTCCTCAGAGCAGTGCAGAACTGGGAGGATGCAAAAGTGGCTTAAAGCCACATTCTCCTCTCCTCCCACTGGGCAGCAGGTTCTTTGGAACACCTACTAGAAGCACAGTCTAGAATCTCACTTCACATCTTTAATCTGTACACACTTTGACTTCAGATTAGGAACGCTTAGATGTGAATCTCCATCAACGCTTTTATCGTTAAAAATGCTCTCCTAGGAAAAAGAGTATTTCCAGTTATTCACTCAATATTCATTATAAGTACAATTAGTACTTTCCTTATCACTAGTGGAAATCATTGCCAATACAGTCACAGTGTTTAGCTGTTCACATCATTGACCCCCTAGCCAGTGGTTGTTACTGTTATGATTTTAGAATGACTCTTTTGCCCAGTTGAGTTTTGATTTCTTCCATTTGTGAATTATGTTGGAAGATTAACATTTCCACGTGCTATGAAAGGCAAAATATATGTATAAGACAATTTATTATTTTCTTAATTCGAATCATTGTCTCCTTCTCCCAGGTACATGGATTTCTTCCCTACCCCTTCGAATGTCACCACTGACTTTCTGTTTGAGAAAAGTGCCAACTACTTCCATTCTCAGGAGGCTCCCAGACGAGCAGCTTCCCTGGTCCCCAAGGCCAAGATCATCACCATTCTCATTGACCCATCAGATCGGGCATACTCCTGGTATCAGGTAGGGAATGGGCAATGAAATCAAAAGCAGAGAGTGGAAACTAATTCACGCCCCTTCCTAGGAGATGTTCCAGAGGAGAGATGGGTTGGCCCCCAAAAAAGAAAATCAACACCTATGTTTTAAAAAAAATGTTTAAACATATATAGCAACTTGACATATTTGTACAGACAAATGAAATAGCCAGAGCAATGCCAAAAGAGTCATATATAAAGTTAAACTAGGCATGAACTAGAAAAATCCTGATACCCTATGATGAGGTTTGCAAATAACAATATAAAGCACTTAGTTCACCATGCCAGTTGACACTCCTTCCAGCCCCATCCTGAGCACATTCACAAAAGATTACACAAGTCATAAGGCAGAGGAGAAACAGACCCTATGGTTGCATCTACACTGGCAGAATTTGGACTAGACTAGACATGTAATTCTCCATCAGTGTGGCTCCATCAATCCCAACACTGGCAGAACTGTAGTAGGGTGATCATACGTCCTAATATTACTGGGACTGTCCTGATATTAAGACCTTTGTCTTACATAGGCACCCATTACCCCCCGCTCCCGATTTTTCACACTTGCTATCTGGTCATCCTAAACTGCAGTCTGAAAAGGTAGAAGGCTGTGTCTTGTCTACACCACAACTGCCAACTATGCTACAAAGTGTAGAGCTGCACTGTGGCGACTTAAGGGTCCAACTGTTCCTATTGTATATGCAGCTCTAGTGCCTGACTCTCCACTGCCTTGCACTAGCTGGTGCATACCTTTGCCAAGCGATTGCAAAAGTATGTGTGAAATGCTACCAGTTCTGAATGTTTCAGTAAATTAGGCTCTATATGGTTTTAACATGGGCTTGTTGGTCTCTACAAACAGTTAACTGAGTGTGTGGGTAATATCCCTTCTTAGTAAAATAGTTGATTCTTAGATTTTTAAGGCTAGAATGGATCATTTAGTCTGATCTCCTGCATAATACAGGCCACATAATTTCACCAAGTGCTCTCCTTCCTCAAGCCCACAACACCTGAGAATGGAGAGAACCATAGATAATCTTCCATTGAAACAGCCATAGGTTTTTGGTTTGTCTTGGGTGGTTGGGTAATGTGTATGTTGATGGTGGTGGTGATGTTATTATTAAGGGTATGATAGCCATGACTAACATTTGAAAATGAGACCATTATTCATCTAGGATATTTCATTACAGTAACACAATAGCAGTGCAGCTACAGTTTGCTAAATTCTTAACTATGTTTGGAAGTCTGAAATAGTACAGTTTTCACTTCTTTACTCAAGTATGGCTTAATTTACTAGCTAATTATAGGTTTCAGAGTAGCAGCCGTGTTAGTCTGTATTCGCAAAAAGAAAAGGAGGACTTGTGGCACCTTAGAGACTAACCAATTTATTTGAGCATAAATAAACTAGAGTGCTGAATTGGAATTAATTTGCAAACTGGATACAATTAATTTAGGCTTGAATAGAGACTGGGAGTGGATGGGTCATTACACAAAGTAAAACTATTTCCTCATGTTTATTCCCACCCCCCACCACCCCCCGCTGTTCCTCAGAGGTTCTTGTCAACTGCTGGAAATGGCCCACCTTGATTATCACTACAAAAGGTTCCACCCTGCCCCCACTCTCCTCCTGGTAATAGCTCATCTTAAGTGATCACTCTCGTTACAGTGTGTATGGTAATACCCATTGTTTCATGTTCTCTATGTATATAAATCTCCCCACCGTATTTTCCACTAAATGCATCCAATGAAGAGAGCTGTAGCTCACGAAAGCTTATGCTCAAATAAATTAGCTAATTATAGCTATTTGTCTCTCAATTTTGTATGCTAGCACCAGCAATCTCATGAGGACCCTGCAGCTTTGAAGTTCAATTTCTATGAAGTGATTACATCAGACCATTGGGCTCCCTCAGAGTTAAGAACTCTCCAGAAGAGATGTCTCATCCCTGGGTGGTATGCTACCCATATAGAAAGATGGCTAACTCACTTTCCCACTTCCCAGGTAATTTCCCGCTAGCCATTTCACAAAGCTCACTGATTTTGGGAACAACAATCTCAACTTATACCATTATTGCATATAAGCTTGTGATGCTTTTTCATTGATTTTTGGAAAAATTTCAAGGAAAATCTATATAAACAAATGCTTAGATAAAATTCATCTTTACAAAAACGCTCCCAGAATACCTATTTCCTGACAAAAAACAGGTTAACACAATGCACACCTATGGATGCTCCATACTCTCAATCATACCTTCTGCCCCTACAAAGAAAAATGGGTATGGAAGGAAAAGGTATATGTAGGGTAGTAAGCAACCTCCCCTGTGACTGCCTCATCTGACCAGGACTTAAAGAAACTCTGTGGTGAAACTAGGAAGCACAGGCTGTGTCTTCTAGTTAGTCTACGTGCTAGAAAGCCAAAAAGATCTATAGAGTCTGTTTCTTTCCATGGCTGGCCTTTTCTGTTGCATGGCCTCAAGTTGTACTACAAAGGGGGGGAAATAGACTAGACCCATTGTTAGTAAGTGAAAGGAGGACTGGGTTTGTCAATGACTTGTATCTGTTCCCTTTAGTCCTGCTTCTCTTTTGATAAGCAACAAGTACTGGCCTACAAGCAGAATGGGATGCAAAGTTCACAAAAAAATATGCCCGCAAGTTGGGGGATCTATGGCAGGTAGGACTTCCTGCAGAAAGTTGTTTACTCTCTCTGGTCCTGCTAAGGGAGGGTGCATAACGCTGTCCCACAAATTTCAGAACATGCATGGGATTCTGGGTCCCCAAGAGAGCCAGGACTCCAATTACCTGTTTGCTTTCTCTGTTCTTAAGGCTGGGCCTCCTGCTCCTAAGACATATGTTAAAGTTTCTCCCCCCTGCAGTAGTTAATTTCATCACAGTGAATGCAGACCCTGCTGTTAAGCATGCACATATTTCTTGTAAAATTGGCTACCGCCATGTTTGCCTAGTTGCAGTGATTAATTTTACAAGATACACAACAATGTGAACTCATTCTTTATAGAGTGCGTACAGAAAGTGCACTTATTGTGCTTACTAATGTGCACTCAAAAAAGTCAATAATTCATAAGCCCTCACAATAAATATGAAACATACCCATCCAAGTTAGTTATTATCTGTACAGTTCTGTACTGCAAAAGCTTCTATATATAACTTTACCAACTAGACTCAAAGTCCAGTTCAGCACTGAGGTAGCTTTGCATCAGACCAAATTTTGTTAACGTACTTTTGAAAGATCTGCAATAATTATATACTGATTATCAGATACTGTCAATCTACTGCATCTGCATAGTGGTTACTATTTAATTACTAGATATTTATGTGCTTATTTCTCTAAAAGCTCAGTGTGTATTTTAATGCTTTTGAATATTTTGTATGTCTGACTTATCTAATCAAGCTTTTTTAAATCTGTTTTTCTCAGTATTCTGTAAATCTTTGAGATTTTTATTTTATTCTTTGCTTGTGCATGCAAAAATAACTATATTGGGGAGAACAATGTAGGCATCCAAGCGGTTCCCTCAGTTGCCAGATGCAAGACTATACATCTCCAGCAAGATGCAGAGCTGAAAGAAATTAAGGCTAGAAACAGCTGAATTGCACGACTGCTATTGATGCCATATTATCTCAAATCCACCTTGCCTTCAGTTGTGTCACAGAGGAAGTGAGGTAGCTTAGTTTATTGAACTGAGTCTTTTGTCTTAAATGGACAATCTATCCTTACAGTTGCTAATTATTGATGGACAGCAGCTAAGAAGTGACCCAGCGACAGTGATGGATGAAGTACAGAAGTTTTTGGGAGTCTCACCTCATTATAATTACTCTGAAGCTCTAACGTGAGTCTGTAACAGTTTAATTTCTTCTGTTGTATATGATTAGGTACATCCATACATCCCACATACAATTTATCATCAGTTACAAACAAAAAATTACATTAAAAGAATATTAAGTTTGCAAGGTCAAGCACTCAAAAATCAGCCCCCTTGAGTATATCGATTCTGATACAGTCTTTCATGATAAGATCACATACTATTTTACCTATAGGACCCCTGCCTCATTCAGTGCACAGGATAGATGGCGCTCACTGAATGAACAACTAGTCCATTTCTCCCCACACCCATAGCTCAATGTGAGGCCCCAGAATTTATTTACTTCACACCATCCAAACTCTGCTCTGAAGACAGAATTATTAATTTCTTCATGGTTGTTGCTATGGTGCTCCTCACTGTAGTTTTTGAGTACTTCACAAACATTATTCAGGTTATTTTTCACAACAGCCCTGAGAGGTGATGGGGTATTATCCCCATTTTACAGATAGGAAACAGACACAGACACCAAAGTCATAAATACACATAATCTTGCATGCCCAATTTGAGATGCATCTGGCCTGATTTTTGAGAGTTCTTAGCATTATATAGCATTTTATCTATCCAAAGCATAGCTCCCACTGGCTTCTGAGCATTCACTGCAAATCAACTGCACCTCTGCAAATCAAACACTAGGGTCTCAAGTCAGGCACCCAGAAAATGAGGAACGCGCAATTAGTAATCACCTGTGAAAAGTATGGTTTAAGGGATTTGTTTAGCATCACACAGAAATTCTGTGGCTGAGGCAGTGGTAGAATCCAGTCACCTAGTGCATCATTTAACAGCCTTAATCATGAGAGTTTCCCTGCAGCTGAAAGAGTCGTGTTTTTTGGCATGAGCAAAGCAATGTATTTTTCCCTAATCTTGTGCTCAGAAATGGCTTTGCTGAAACTTCCCAAACCTGAGGAAAACACCCAACAGGGAAAATTTTAGCTTTTGAAGTTTGATGAAGTTATAAGAACAGAAAAGAGGATCTTATAATGGGAAGTGTCAGGCAGCCTTAAATATAGGCAACACTAGCTTCTCTGCCTATATTTAGTGGAAGCTCATCCCCCAGTGTGAGGCCCAAAGGCAATCAGAGGAGTAGCCTACTGTCTAGTGTGCCTTTTATACACTTTCCATTGACTTCAATGGCCCTGGATCAGTGAAGTCCTTTTTTCAAAGGTGCCTGTAATGAGTTCAGTTCAGGTCTGAGATCTACACATGTAGGAGACCTGAAAGATATAGATTTCCCCTGGATCACATGAAAGGGTGGTTAACTATCTCCCTGTCCTTTCCCAGTCCCTGCAGAGAGTTCACCATCAGCTCTCGGATCTCTGCAGGAATTTGGACTGGGTGGATATTAACCCTCCCAGATCCACAGTAAATAAGGAAGAAGCATTTACACTGGGCCTTTCCACATTAGGGAACCTCACTTACAGCTGACTTCCAGGGGCAAGCTCTGTACTGGGGGTATTCCATGGAGTCAAGCTCTGTATTGGGGGTATTCCATGGAGCCAAGAAACCAACAGCCTCTTATGAAGGTGAAGGGCTACAGGGGCTCTCCAAATATTCAGCATCTGCTTGGGTGGTCATTTCCTCCTACAGATTCCTATGTCTGCAGGGCTTGGGGTAATAATCCATGTCCATTCCACAATCAGGGAGGAGGAGAAGCAAATCCTACACTTTTCCATCTCCATAGGAGTGATACAGGGAGGAATGATACAACCATAGGAGTGACATAACTCCAGCACGGAAGTTTTCATCTCCCACACACCGCCTCCAGTTTTACTTGAGGGTAATACTGCAATGGTTCCTCGTCAATCTTTTCCAGAACAAACAACACTTGTGGGTTATACTGATAACACTTGTGGGTTATACTAAGTATAAGCCCAGAATTGTGCAGGCTTCTTCTTTTTTAAAAAAAAAAGTCTCTTAAAAAACATTGCTTTTCAAAATAGCTTTTCCTAGGTAAACAGTTTCATTTTCTGGAATGTAATTTTGTAAGTCCTTGGTTCATAATGTGTACAAAGTGCTGGCAGGAATTTTGAATACACAGCTAAGCTCCTGATGTTTGCATACCTGCCACACTGCACATCTTCCGTGCCTTTTGTTATGTGTTCAATATATTTGGGGACAAAATTTTCCCTTCGGTAACTAAACTGAAGTCAGTGGAGTCACATTCAAGTTATAAAGTTGGTATCACCTTTATTTAAACAGGAAAATGAGTTGTAAACAGTTCTATAAAATTGTACAATCACAGTTCAGAAACACTGAGAACGCAAGTGTGTGGAGGAAACACACAGGTTTGCATGGAAGAGGAAACAACATTAAACAATGTGGTAGCTTCACATTAAGAATGTCAATATAAAATCAATTGGATAGGCTTCTTCAAAGTCATTGCTGTTTATTAAGCATACAACACACATTTTTAAAATTGTCAGAATGCAAGCCAAGGACCCAACTGTGCAAATACTACTGGACAACAAGCTTATTGCCATATGTAATCCATAAACATCAATATGGCTTCTCACAGGAGTGTGAAATTCACCCTGGTGCAAAGAATAAGGGCTGTGCACCACTTAAATGCTACTGAAGCCCTCGAAATAGGATGCAAGTGAGACATAAATGCTGCTTATGGCCCTGCACAGAGGTAAATATCATTCAGCAGTTAGTAAGCACTCCATCCAGCACTAAGTGAGTGCAGAATTAAATCCTAACCTATCATCCTTCACATACACTACTAAACCAGACTGGGGTTTATCCTTTTATTATTCTGATGCATTTGTAAAAACTAAAATTAAACTAATGTTGTAAGAGTTAATTCCTGTCTGTACATATGCTCTGTGATCCTCAAGTAAAAAAATGCTAAAGAAAGATGTCACAATCCACAGGATCGGTGCTACATTTCCAGCTTTGAAACAGTCTCTAGGAGGAACCCCTTCAGTGTGCCAGATCATGAAGGGGTCTGTCTCTCCCTTCATAGGTTAGGCCTCACCACGTCCTTAGATTGAACCTCTGGGCCTTCAGCACTTCTGCTTCACACCGTGAGCTCTGATCAGCAAGTCCAACTTTGCATGGAAACTGTGGAGCTGCCAGTCTCCTCTGGCTCTGAGGAGTCTAGGTGACACGTGCACTTTTGATGTGAGACTCAGAGGGCATCTCTGTGAAAAGATCAGAGGGGTGTGTGTATGTATGTGTGTACACTAAGGTATACCTTCCACAGAACTTTATGTAAGAGCAACAATACGGGGAAACCTGGGTGGGAAAACTTGGTAGAGATTTGTACACTCTTTGGGGATTAATGCACCTCACCAAGTATTCGTAGTGATACTCAAACAGTGTCAAAACAGTAGGGTTTATTAGCCAACTGGAACACTGCATAGGAAGACCTTAAGTTAGCTTAGAGAAAGAAAGGCTAAAGCATAGAGTAAGTCCATTTTGGTTAGCCCAGAGCCCAGCCAAACTGTAATGAACCCCATTGTTCAAGCTTTCTCTGTCTCTGTCTGACCTTCTTGGTCAGTCCCAGGTGAGAACCCCAACTCCCTCCAGCAGCCAACTCTTATCCTCCCACTTCACACCTTCCGAGTCCTTTGTTCTCTAGCTGGGGTCTTTTCTCAGCTTTCCTGCTGAGAGGTGGGAAAATCCATAACCCTCTTGGCCATTGGTTACTAGGTAGCAATGTCCTGGTGATTGTGTTTTCCATTGTCTTCCATGATTTTCCATTGACTGGGAGTCAACCTCCACCAGTTCCTTTTTTAATGACCCATTCTGGCTCAGACATTCATATGTATGTCTCCCAGCCTTCCCTGAGAGTGGAGTCCTTTTCCCCCACCCCAGCTAGCCATACAAAATGTAGGGGAAACTGAGGCACCCATAAGATTCGTAAAAATACTACAGAAAATTTCCACTTCATTACAAAAGGTAAGATCAGTGTTTGTGGGAGCAAGGAGGAGTCTGCCATGTAAATCTGGTAAATTGCACATCCAGATACCTGTCTGAATGCAGTTACTGGATTTGCTGGCAAATATTACATTAGATGTGTAGTTACCTAATTTGCCTCAGCAAATATCTATTTGCATGTGCAAGTACCCCTCAGAGGTTCAAAATTAATACAGCCTCACTCACCAAGTCCCCCGTTTCCTCCCCCCCCCCCACACACACACACACTTTTTATTTTAAAGATACATCCCTATCCAGTTTTCTAGCTGCATCCTCTTGGCCACAGGATGTCCCTGCCTTGCCCTGACTGGCTGGTAGGAGAGGGCATTAAACACATTGTTTCCACAAACAACACATGCTTTGCAGCATTTTGAACTGGTGGTTCCTTTGTGGATTTTTCTTCCCTCTCCTCACCATTGAGGCAGAGAGAAGTGGGGATTGTGTGTTCACATGGTTAACAGAGAGGCTCAGTAGCTGTGTTTCCCACTCAGAGAACAGAGGGGCTAGAGAGGTTGGAGAGAAAAATGGCCAGGCAGCACTAAACTGCTGCTTTTCACAGAGGGGAAAGCCAGGTACAGAGCTAATACAGATCTAATCTGATCTGTCTAGATTCTTATACAGCACTCTCCTGACTGGAGCAGACATGATGCAAGAACTGTTGCTTCCAAGTCTCCTGTCAGACAGTGCTTTAGCGAGAGAGAGAGAGACAGAGAGAGAGACTATTTTGGAGAATGGAGGAATGGGATATTAAGCCAAAATGTGAGTCCTCTGTTACAGTTAGCTCTGCTGACAGAAGAAACCCTCTCTATGCCTGGATCACCCTCTCCCCCACACTGGAAAAGGTTGTCCATCTTCCCTCGTACCCATTCTTTATGGGAGGAGGGAATGAAGACATAGTGGCCCTGTCGGAGTAGATAAGGTTGGTGAGATGAACATGACCCCACTCTGCACTTGTCCTTGTTGAACCTCATCAGATTTCTTTTGGCCCAATCCTCCAATTTGTCTAGGTCATTCTGTACCCTATTCCTATCCTCCAGCATATCTACCTC